CATTCCTGGACTTGGAAAACAGGGCAACTCCTTTCTGCTTAGCAGCCTCATAATTCCGAGCCCACAAGAGGTTTCTTCTCTAGACATGCAAGTTCCTGTGGCAATAGCCTGGACAGTCCTGTTATCGTAATTACACTTTAAAGTGTACCATTATTAAATATTTATGGAACCAAACTATTTTAAACTATGTGGTAAGTCACCCTGAGCCCCGGGAAAGACAGGCTACAAATATCTGAGACATTATTATTTAGACAGTGCCGTTGGTATCCTAGGCGCTTTACTAAATTTAACTGCCTCCCATTTCCTAGTTCTCCAGTACAATTTCAAGATAGGTCAGCCAAGAAATCATCAACTGAAACTGATATGGAGGGAATTCAGTGATGCCTTCGGAATAAGCAGGGCCCCATAACAAACTGTTTTCTTTAAACACTCTGACTCACCTAAGTCAGTGTTGTGGCTGGACAGGAGTTGCCGGAATTTCTCCAAGCGGGTTTTCTCACGCACTGTCATTGGAGGAGCCCCTGAAGCATTTTGGTCAGAGATGCGAGCAACAAGTGGAATGATGGGTCGGAGTGGGAGAGACTGTTGTTTGTGGAGTGGGTTGCGCATATAGCCATCCTCTATAAGAAGATAAAGAGGACCATCAGACTGTGAGCACACTGGAGAGCAGCAAGCATGGAAAGTAAGGGACTTTCCACAATCCACCATTTTCTTGATTTATGTAGAACAAAGTTGGAGTCCAGTGGCACCTTTAAGACCAACAAAATTTTATTTGGGGTATAAGCTTTCGTGTGCAAGCACACTTCTTCATTAGGCAAAAGCTTTTGCTCAGAATAAAACCTTGTTGGTCTTAAAGGTGCCACTGGACTCAGACTTTGTTCTGCTGCTTCAGATCAATAAAGCTACCCAGCTGAATCATTCTTCATTTATTTAGAGTTGTGAATGCTTGATCAGGTCTCTAATGCATGCATGGCAGGGAGAAGCCCTACAGTTGTAATTTTTTCTACTCCCCCAATGAATGATAAAGAAGACCTTCAGCTGATTGATGAACCTTTACCTGTCATGCCATTATGAAACAGCCTCAAGACCGGACTATATCAGCCTTTCTGGGAATACTCTACTTTGATGGCACATTCTACAGAACAGCAGGTGAAGCAATGCTTTAAGGCTCATCCATAGATAAATTTTATTTTATTTATTTCCTTCAATGTATACCCTGCCCTCCCCGCAAGGCAGGCTCAGGGTGGGTTCCAACCTGTAATAATCTGCTGAGTGCAAATTTACATAATAAAAACAGACTAACAAAATACACACAATAAAAACAGTAAAATAAGTACAACACTAAACACTTTAAAATAAATTATAGCTCAAAAGACACATAAGAGCGAATCACTAGGGGGGGGAGGGGGGAGGCCAGATTTAATTGGATACCCACTGCCTCAGCTGAAGGCCTGGCGGAAGAGCTCCATCTTGCAGGCCCTGCAGAGCCATAAAAGCTTTCGCAGGGCCCTAATTTCTGACGGGAGCTCATTCTACAAGGCAGGGGCCAGGGCTGAAAAGGCCCTGGCCCTAGTTGAGGCAAGTCAGATATTCCTAGGGCCAGGGACTGTCAGCAGATGCTGATTCATAGAGCACAATGCCCTCCAGGGCTCATATGGGGAGAGGCATATGAAGCAACAAATAATTCCTCATCCCTTTTGTCTTAGCTACCCCCACTGATCAGCATGAAAAAATGCTATATTGCCAGCAACAGACTTATAGGGGTGGCTGTCAGATTACTGAACATGGCTTAGATCACCTGACCTGCCCTTTAAACACTTGACATGGGCCGCTTTCTCACTGCTCTACGGGCCATCTCTTCCTGTTCAGTCCTTTCCCCTTGCTTCAGTCTTCATGCTCTCTTCTCATTTCTGTCTCTAGCGTGTTAAACAGCAAACCTAACAGGAGGCTGGAGAAGTAAGGAAGCAGGGAACCACAAGGTAATTTAGAATTGGAAACTCCCCAAATTCTTGTATACCTGTATCCCAAGCCAGTTACCAAACACACACAGTGGTATGATGTAGCCTCAGATGCCATCTGGTGGTGATAGTATGACGGGAGGCTAATTTCTACAATAGTTCCTGAATAACTGCATTAGTCTACTGTAGCAAAACATAGCAGAAGTCCAGTAGCCCCTTAAAGACTAACAACATTTAGTTCAGCATGAGTTTTTGCTACTTGGTGGTCATTTCTTTAGAATGCATCTGAAGAAGTGAGCTCGGGTTCATGAAAGCTTATGCTGGAATAAATGGTTTACTCTTTAACACGTCACCAGACTTTTGTTTTGTTTAATTTTTAAAGCCAGCAGTAGTATGTATGCTTCACTTACTGAACTAGCACCTACACAAAACAACAGGCACTTATCTAAACTATTCAGAATATACCTTCTATATGTTCTCAATAGTCTCCGCTTAAAGTTTCACTGGCTCCCCCCAAAGCCTCTAGTTTGACCCCAAAAATCCATATTGGTTTTCACCACTAACCAAAAAGCCTTTATTCACAGAAGTTTGGCCCAATCAGTCCAAAAGAGGTTCATTAGAACTTACTGACAATCCAAAGTAAATGAATTAACTCCACCAACATTTGATGCTGTGTTTAACTCTAACAAAGTAATCTCAGTTCGGACCTGGATGGCCCAGGCGAGCCCAATCTCATCAGATCTCAGAAGCGTAGCAGGGTTGGCCATGGTTAGTATTCGGATGGGAAACTGCCAAGGAATTCCAGGGTTGCTATGCAAAGTCAGGCAATAGCAAACCACTTCTGTTAGTCCCTTGCCTTGATGACACTTTACACATACGCACAATCTGAGTTTTGTATCACGAAAACCTTCATTCACAAGATTAAAAACTGACTGAAACCTAGGCCATCGTTCTGTTTCTAATACAAACCATCAATTATAATTATACAGATCAAACAAATCTGAATATACTTTCTTACTTTACCAATTTTATTCTGCTCCCATTAAGTACAGAAAGGAACAAGGAATTCCACAGAGCACAAAATCCTTGCCTTCTAAGAACCCCTACTCAACCCCCACCCCCAATGCCTCCTGGATTTCAAGATTTCACTAGGTACGGTAAGCACAAAGCCTGTTTTCTCAGCCACTGGGGAAAGAAGCCTGCATTTCTTGATAAAGATCCAATATTCTCAAGAGGTTCTGTTCTGCACTCAAGAGACAGTGTGATATTTGTGCAGAATCTATACAGCCTTGATAGAAGCATGCACTGCAGAAATGCCAGATGAGTAGGTAGAACAGGGCTCTTACCAGTTCTGGACAGTTGGGCCTCACTATTAGATTTGATAACTTTGCAGTTGTTTGGTACTTCATTCAGAACCGCCTGAGGTCGCTCAGGTTTCACACGCAGCCTGCTGTGGTTCTCCAACACCTGTGCTGCTGTGGCCTTGGCCACCTTAGAGTTCAAGGTCTGGAAAGATGAGAAGTCCTCATCTTCATCATCCCCAATGTCCCAGGCATCACTAGTGTCACGGGCAAACTCATGAAAACTGCTGGCCTTCTTATTCTTCATTGGCAGGGCACTGACCTTGGAGCGTTCTTTAATGAAGCTACAAAATGTAAGAGAATGTGTGTTATTGCCATCTCTGCACAACCAGCCACTGCCATCCCTTGGCCCATGGTATAATTTCTCCCTATTGATTTGATTTCCCTTGCCTATGAAAGACCACTTTTCCATCACACACATAATCCTACCTCTTCCAATCAGGGTGAGAATAAGGAATGCAAAATCTTTCCATGCAAACCCTACCAAGTACAAAGTTCAGAACCTGAATAGAGCTTTACAGTCTTGACACATGGGAGGCCAAACACTCCTGCCAAGCTCCTTAACAAAGAAAGCTGGCTGGCTGGCTGTCTGTCTACTGTGTGGCAAGCAAACAGAAAAAAGCAGGAGGAGAATGTATTGAACCTCAGTGAGCATGTAAAGAATCCTGGCTGGCACCCTCTAAAGAACAGCAACACCATAAATATGCTGAGAATAAAGCAGATGTTCCTTGTTGGGTTAGAAGAATAATTAGGCCTAATAATGTGTATTCCACATATAAGTTGATCTGGTCACTAAGGGGTGTTCTCTGTGTGGCTCCTTTCAAGTGGGACACTTATGATTTTACTATTCTTTAAAGGATGCCAGCCAGGACCTGCATAAATTTATGTCCCAACAAGAAATACCTAAAGTATTTAACTCCAACAAAGTAAAACAGAGCATGAAGGAGTCTGAGAACAAAAAGGAACATTACAAATTCTAAATACCAGAAAGCCAGCCCTACTAGAAACAGTCCAAGCAAGAGCAACCCGAAGACAGTGAAAATATGTCATTGGTTGCAAATGTCCTTATTGTAGAAAAAAGTGGGGCTGTGAGGTCATCTGAAAGAGACCTTTTTTTGGCCATCACAATGTCATAAAGCTTCTGTTCAAATAATACTTTGGTTTAGTACAAAATTGGTTTTCTACCTTCAACTTTTATTTTTCCTATTTCTCAGGTGGCAAAAATTAAAGATATTTGTGCTATCATGGCATATGGTGCAGCTCACTCTCTCATTGTATACTTGCAATGTTTTCTATTGGAAAACAGGACATTTATACCTTTAGACTCCATAAATATGCCAAATAATACAATTATATGTGCTAACTAATTTATAAGTTACGTATTTTATGCTGTTAAATAAGTAAAAGAAGTTTAGCTTTGATAGAAAAGAATTGCATCTATTTTAATCCACCCCATCTCCATTCTGCCTCCCAAATGGGGGGAAAACTCTCCCAGTTTCAAAATTTCCGGTTTTACATCTGTAATAAAGGTAGAAGGCAAGCCCTTCTCATGCTCGTATGGCTAGTATTTTCAAAGGCAATAAGCTAACTCCTAGATCACCAGAGTATGAGCCAGAGAATGCACAACCTAGGTTCAGGGAACAAAAGGCTCCACCCTAGAATCTCTAATTGTTTCAGGGGCACCAAGGAGGTACAGTCTAATGCAGTCATCAATTACTTCTCATATAAAATTAAATTGTCATTTTATTTTCCAGTGTGAAGGATTTCAGTGTAGAGGCACTGTAAGCCACTAAGCATCCAAAGACAATAATAGCAAACAGAGTTTTTCAATTTAATACTGAAGTTGAGGTTTAAGTGGCCTTTTCTATTTCTATAAGCAGCTCTGAAAATTTTCCAGGCCCTTTTCTAACCGTTTAGATGACCTCTAGCTAGAAGTTGTTAAGGAAGTTTCTTGCCCTCTGCAGTGCAAATCTCTTGTCAATCAAAGGGTGCAACTGATCAGAACTTGGGTCATAGTCTTTTGCAGGGGTCATTTCATAGAAAAAGAGGTGCAGGAGCTCATTAGCATAACTTATTTGCATATGCCACACCTCCTGATGTCACCAGAAGTGCATCAGAAGGCAACACCAACTGCTCAGGCTCCACTGGACTGTTTTGGATTGCTAGCTATTGGGGGGGGGATGCACAGATCTGCCCTAGCAGAGGAGGGAGAGCTTGTACCTGAATGAAACTTGGCCTTAAAGATGCCACTGGACTGTTTTGGATTGCTAGCTGGGGGGGGGGCAGATCTGTGCAGGAAGGAAGGAGGGAAAAAAGAGAAGGAAAGAAGGAGGGAAAGAAAGAGGGAGAGAAGGAAATGAGAGAAAGGGAAAGAAGGAGAGAAGGAAGGAAGGAAAGAAAAAGAAAGAGGCTTCTTGCTCCTCGTGGCCTGGAGCTGCTGGGAGCTTGGTGAAGCTTGTTGCATGTGCCCGCCCCCTGGGCTCTTTACTGCCGTTCTGCTCCTGTGCGCTCCTGCAGGAAATGACCCCTGGTCTTTTGAGATATACCCTACAGAATCAGCTATACTCTGAGACATATCATCATAGGCCACGTTCAGACAATAAGCACATTTCCTTCAAAACTGCCCTTTTAAAATGTAGCTGACACGGGTCTGTGTGTGTGTGCCTTCAAAAAGCCACAGCTAATTCAGACTTTGAATGAATATATATATATATATTCCAAATGGACAGAAACCTTCACGGGGCATATGCAGCTTGCAACATGCAGTTTGAAAAAGCAGCTGTCCAGCATGTAGCAATGTGATGAGGGAGGTGGGACAGAAGTGAGTGGTCTGTGAAATTTTTAAAATCAAAACAGGGTCAAAACAGGGTTTAATCAAAACTCCTGAACTGGCATATTTCTAGCAAAACTTTATTAGTCTAGACAGAGAAGTGATTCTTCAACTTCCAATTAGCAGGCATGAAGAAGAATCTACAGAGGATGGATGACTGTTAATTATCCTGCGCACACCCTTTTTCATCCATTCAGTAGTGGCCACAATCAGAGAGAAAAAATACACTGATACAGAGGGGGACTGATAATACAGTGTGATAGTACGATAACAAATGAACCAAGGTAGTATGGACTCCCTGCATATGCCCCGTGGGTGTATAAAACTGTACTTATAGCATCTATGAAGATTTGTCAAGATAGGATGACTTCGCTGTTAAACTGTGGGGTGAGAAGAGTTGCATTTACAACCTTTAAACTGTCACATTTCTTAAATGCAGCAAACAATAGGCAGGCCAGGTAGCGAACACTGCTTGGACAAGTAGTCGTCTAGTCTTTGCCCTACTTGAAGTTCACCTTCTCCTTGGAGAAATCCCTTCTACAGACCAGCATGGACTTTAGACTCCACAACCCATCAATTTCTTGACATGCTGGTTCAGCAAGGGCAATGATTGTGATGGGGATGCCTTCCCACAGTGACTCAATAGTAAGGCCACAAGTTCATTTCAAGCCCTTCAACCAATGGCTAATAGCTTGTGGTGAAAAAAGCAAACACAGAGGTCAGCTTCAAATTTGATCTCGAAGAAGAAAGTATTGGTCTAAATATAGCTCCTAACATCAACCTCAGGGGTGACAATAACTATTTCTAAAGGTGCTTCATCAGAGGATGTGAGAACATGAAGTTGTCACCCCTGAGGAAAACATTATATCAAAATGCATTGATAAAATGCATTGAACCAAAACATTCTCCCTCAGGTAACTTTGAGGTTGGCCTTTCTCTGCTTCTTTGACCATTGTTGGTGCTGCCTTCATTTATTTTTTGTATTCTTGATTATCACCAAGTAGAAAGATCTTGAAGGCTCCTCCCAAGGATGAAGTGGCATCATACACTAACAGCCGACCTTCAGGACAAGAAGGAAAACTACTTACTTTTTGGTGAGCCGGGGATCCAGGGGAGGGTGTTGAGCACCATAAACAGGCTGAATACTGCAGATGAAACAAGAAAATTGAGTGATTTGTGAGCAATTGTTCCAGGCTCAGATAGTTTGGGATATACGAAGATCCATGGAGAAACATCATCAATGGCTCCAAGTCTTAAAGTAATTCTTCAAGAGAAGCACAGACACTGCCTTCAGTACCACTGCAGAATGACCAATAGGCTAATGAACCAGTACTACAGTTAATGACCAATAGGCTAATGAACCAGTACTACAGTTAGGAGGATGGACCTGAGAATAGCTTAGCTGATAAACTCAGAGAAGGTTCCAACCCTGGTCACAATTCTATGTAATAAGCATTTCAGCATTTGTAAATCAGCATTACCGAAGAAATGGTGGAAGAACAAAGTTTGAGTCAAGTGGCACCTTTGAGACCAACGAACTTTTATTCAAAGTGTACGTTTCATGTGCAAAACATACTTCCTTCAGACAAAATGCTGGTTACTTTACCTTGTTTTCTTCTACTGGGCTCAAATAGAGCACTTGCTAATCCAGAAGTGCATGAGAGAACAGCATTTCTTTTGCTGTTTTCAGAAACTCTTTGGCTCATCCCAGTACAAGCCTATTCTGATGAATGAATGAAGGAAAAGCAGCAGATTTTCTTTCACACATCAAACAAGTTACTTGCTTGCAGCTATTGAACTGAAGAGATATTTCTCAATTAATACTGAATATAGCCTAAAATACATGGTCTCAGGGCCGGCCCCAGCTTTTTTTGCACACTAGGCGAGGATACCTTCTGCCCCCCCCCCCCAATGCACCCACCAATTTTCAAACATAAATGCATTTTAGGAAGGGCTTTTTTTTGGTGGAGGAAAAAGAGTTCCCTTTTTGTTTCAGGATGCTGGACCACCTCAGCTGGCCTCCAGCTTCTCTCCCTGCCCCCTGCGCCCCACTGCTGCGCAGGGAGGTTTTATGGGGCCGCCCTGCGGGGTGGGACCCCTGTCCCAGAGGGGAGCTCCGCCTGAGAGGGTGGGGCACTTTCCTTTGGGGCCGGCAGCCACCCCCATCCCCCTGCATCTGACTGATCCCCGCGTGAGGATCCCGTCTCCCGCAGCCCTGGCCGGCCCACAGCCCAGTGGAGCGGGGGGGACACTGACCTCACCGTCACGGTGTACCTCTCCCAGCAAATGGCATGCAGAAAGCCGGGCCAGGGCGAGAGCCTCCTGCCCG